CATTGCCTTCACCTTTTGAAGGATATATCGAGAACCCTTATTGTTCTCCTTTTTATAATTACTACCATGATGATGATTATTATTTCGTTCATTGTCACGGCCACGCCAATTCATATAGCCACAGTAATTATATTGTTTATTTCAGAATTATCATCAGCATGGTGCATTGGGACTTGAACCCAATGTCTTACCATTATAAAAATATGTTAGGCTTTATTGTGTTCGGACTTGAACCCGACATCTTATCATTATGATACACTTGGATATGAAGCCAATATCCTGAAGCCTCTTTCAGAATATATTGCTACTTAAATTAAGAGAAAATTTGAAGCATCAAAATATAATTACTATTATAATTATCGAATGTGGTATTATATCCTGCGTGTTGCTCTAGGTTGGTCTTTATGTAAACCTGCATCTTCTCTTGCTTTTGGGAAAAAAAAATTTAGGTTCATATAAAATAACAATAATATGCACCTGTCTTCCTTGATGTCTTTCAATCATACAATTTTACACTTATGCTTATCTGACTATGCTTATGATTCCATAAAGAATTCAACATCTCATATTCTAAAGGTCAGAGATAATAATATACTCTAACTATGAATTAGCTGCTATGAGAATAGTAGCAAGTTTGTGTCACCTAGAATAAGTAACATTCTCTCAATATTCACCTGATAGATCTTTGTTGGCTAGCTTCTTTAGCCTCTCTAGGTTTTTTCCTTTTTTAAACTTATTCACATTCTTTTCATAAATAATCAAGATAAAGAATATATTTTTAACTATGAAGAACTTGACAAATACGCTAATCATAAGTATGAAATTTAAGTTTTGCCGGAAAACAAAGAGATGATATATCTTAATTTTAAGATTATAACGGAATAAAATGAGTGTCTATAGTAAGTCTTTAATAAAAGAGAAATTTTCATAAAGCACTATTTTTAGTAGTAATTAGCCATCTATAGATACCATTTGCTATATTACGGATTATAGATACATTCTCTCTTGTTATAAGATGTATTTGATGTATTTAAGCTATTGTATTCATGAATACAGTAGCAAAAATATGTGTGAATTAGGGAAGACCAGCTAATCAGTTGTTATATTCTAGTGTATTCGACTATATTCATGGAGTGAAACATGAGATTACAGCTGGACAAATTATTGTATTCGACTGTATTCACGGTATGAAATAGGGGATTACACTGTTTTTAAAACGGAAAGTGAATCAATTAACATAATAGAGTCCTAATATAACTCAACAAACTCAATTATAACACACAAATTTATTATTTTCAGTTATAAAAAAGATTCTCAATAGAAAAATACCCCAAAAATATAGCAATCTTCATAGAAATTATATAATACATTTGAATACATAAATTATATTAATTAAAAAAAACACATGAATACATTCATGGCATATAGCGAGACAGTGAATACAATGAAATACATAGAATACAACGGGATACATTGAAATATAATGAGAAAAAAAGACAGTGAATACAATGAAGTACATAGAATACAACGAGATATATTGAATTACAATGAAAAAAAAAAGACAATGAATACAATGAAATATATGAAAATACAGCGTGATACGTTGAAAATACATTGAAATATATTAACAGAAAATCAAGTTGCTCAGTCCCAAAATCCGTCGTCTTTGTTCAAGAACAAAGCCTAATTTCCGGCGAATCCGCCGTCGAGCAAAAATACTGAATCTCATTGTTCCCACGCATCCTGTACATTGCTTCTGACACATCTGGCAGTACCATCGTAACTTTTGTAAGCCCATAGCTTTGATTGTTTATGATAAGTATGGTATGACATATAACGATAATACTAGTGACAAAGAGGAATGAGTAAAGTCCAAAAAAAAAACCCTGTGATCCTAACATGGTTTTTCTTTCTGGGATTGAGGTGAAAAAGATTAATAACTGCGTTAACTGAAGAAAGGAGGCGGTGAAACTGAAGCAAATGATCAAAATATTGGCTTTCTGCGCAGAGGAGAGGTGCTTTTTGGGTCAATGAATCCGGTATTATTTGGAAGAGAGAATGACATGTATCAAATTAGAGATAGAAAAAAAATAGTGTAACTGAATAGCATATTTAGTGACTTAGGGGTAGGAGGTACCAAAATTAGATATTTTGCTATAAACAGTAAAAGGTATCTATAGGATATAATTTTTTTAAATGGTATTTATTTAAAATAAATAAGGTATTAACCTTTGCTATATGAGGTAAAAATTCCTTAATAAAACATGTCTCTTCTACCATCTTAAATAATATAACAATAAAAGCTTTCATATCTATATAACTTTGATCACTACTAAAATACTACTACTCCAATATTACACGGGGTAAATTTCACAAATGGTAACTATGACATTTTTTCACTAAAGTCATATAACTTTGTGGTCTCACACAAAAGTCATAAAACTTTCACTACTTTACTCAAAAAGTCATAGTTAACCGGCAAAGACAATTCTCCGGTAATTTTTTTGTACTTTACCATTTTTTTTTTAAATTCAATCTAATAAATTATGACTCAATTAAAATAGAAAATTTTACCTCCTATAGCAAAGGCATACACTCTATTCAGAGGCGGATCCGAGATTTGATTCTTATGAGTTCCTACCGTAATTTTAAATTTATATGCAATAATAACTGGGTTCACAGTTGGATATTTAATTATAAAAGGAGTAGAGAGGTTGTTTCCGAAAGACTCTCGGCTCAACATAATAAAAGGATAAAAGGAGAGAATATTAGTTTCGCCACGGAGTATATTAGGACTTCTAATATAATTCAAATAATTAAATAAAAATTTAATAATCAAAATTTTAGTTGATTTTATATACTAAATTAGAAATATAATTAAATTATAACCTTGTCTAGTATGTAATCCTTTTATAAAGGGTAAAAAAAGGTGAACGCTATTTAGCATGCTTTGCGTGTTTACCTCGTCCGAATAAGTAACTTTTCTTTATAAATCTTATATTTATTACATTAAAAATTGTATGAGACTCATAAATAGAAGTACATAAAAGTAAAAAGTATAAATTTCTAAAATTTATCATTGTTAATTTTATTTATTTAACTCAATGAAGGAAGATGTTAAGTGACTTCAAAAGCCTAAATGTTATGAAACTGATTAAATTTATAATTTTTTCTAATATAAAATTTATATTTAAAAGATATGATAGAAAGNATAATATAAAATTTATATTTAAAAGATAAAAAGAAGATCAATATTTGGCATAAGGGCTCGAATGTGATATGTACAAAGTATTTACCTGCCATTTACTTTAATTTTTGTTTTAATGAATGTCTGCTTTCATGGTGACTCTTATTTTATTTCTAAGTATTCTGTGGATTCAAAAGATGTTTATATAATTTTTTAATTTAAATAACTCCTAAAAAGGTTTGTTGGATTGTAACGAAAAAGAAACAAAACAAACAACCACTTGAGAATCCTTATTGCAAATAAATAACTATTATTTTTAAACCTAATAATAAATATTATTTGTTCGAAAAATATGATAAAAAGACTTTTATTGAATCAAATTTTCTAGCTAAAAATATAAATTACCAGTGAATTTCTTACTTAAGTATTTACGAATTAAATTTTATGAATAACGAAATCTACTTCTAAACCTAGTAGTAAATATACTTCTAAATTTTATGATTTTTATTTATTAGATTGAATTTAAAAAATAAAAAAAGGTAGAATACCAAAAAATTACCGGAGAATTATTTTTGCCGGTTAATTATGACTCTTTGAGTAAAGTAGTGAAAGTTTTATGATTTTTGTATGAGAAAACAAAGTTATATGATTTTAGTGAAAAAATGTCATAGTTATATGACCATTTATGAAATTTACCCAATATTACACAATAGATGAATTTTGAGCACTTAGAATCAAGATTGATGATTTAGTTGCTAGGAAAGTAAATTTCCATCAAAGTATTATTATTAGTTTTTCCCAGAAAATGCAACATAAATATAATGTAACTTATGTTCACATGGAGAACTCTTACAAGTCCAATATTGAATATCACACAAAGAACAAACTCAAATATAAAGAATAAGATATGAAGTATACCTGAAGTTTTCTAAATTTCACATCATCTCATTTACTTGTAACAATTCAAATATTAAGAATTGGATACCTTCTCTAATTACACTAGGGGCTTCGAAATAAGCTGTTCATAGTGGCAGATTCCATAAACTAATTGCTAGACCAACTTTGCTTCAATATATGGACCGAAAAAAATTTGGCCAACTCTGGTAGGAAGAAGATAAAACCTGATTAAAGTAAATAATCTGAGTGGGTTAGAGCATCATGCTGATAATGTGTTATGAAATAAAAGTAATATAGCAAGAGCTATGTTATTAATTAGGACTAATAATAGAAGAGAATGATAACATTAGAAGAGAGGATTTATTTCTTCTTTTCAGAGTGTATAAAATAAGTTTATCAGTGAACCTATTTATAGGAACACTTCGTTGTTACAAAACCAATCCAAAACCTGTTATGAATAAATAACCAATCTAAAATTTGTTATGAATACGTAATCAATCTAAAACCTGTTATGGATACATAACCAATCCAAAACCTGTTATGAGAGACATCCATCTTTGCAAGTGGATGGATCAATTTGCATGATTTATAACACATAATAAATTATTTATATTTTTGACAGTTGAGTGAGCAACTATTTAATTTAATTTTTTATACAAATAAATATTATGACATATTTAATATTCACAAGTTTACTCTTCTTTTCCCCTTAAATTTCGTATCAAATAAAACTATATCAAATAAATTGCAACAACCAAAGGTCTATTACTTAACCAAAAAAGTGAAAAATAAAATTAGACAGAGGGACTGACCTTTCTCATTTTCCACTCCCATTTTATCTATTTTCTAACACATAGTAGAATCGGAAACTTTACAATAAGCGGGAAAAGGCCAACCAAAAAAAAAAAAAAAAAAAAAAAAAAGGGGGAAAAAAGAAGCGGAAAACGAAGCGGCGTTTAACCTGCAACTGCTCTATGAATTCTCAGTGCTCTTCCCTATACAACGTCTTGAAATAGAGATCAAATATCTCCTGCAAAATTTCGGAAACTGACAATACTTAACAATGAAAAATCATGGAAATATAGATTCTTATTCACTTGTAGACAAATTCAAACGTGGGTTTAAATCCCATTGGGTCAGTGCTCATGGGGTTCAAGTCTCAGTTGCTGCTACTCTACTAAGTATTGCTGGTTTCATATTTGCAATTAAAGATGTCAAACTCAGAAACGAGAAACATAGTTCGAAGAGTTATTATTGGACAATACCTGGATTGCAAAATCTTGGAAATAATTGCTTCCTGAATGTTGTTTTACAGGTAAAGATCAACTTTTTTCTTGAATTTTGTTCTCAATTACTGTAAATAAGAGGTTTTTGATGAATATGCTAAATCCATCTTTTTTTGAGTTGTGTTAATGTGGTTGTTTTAATTATTGTAAATAGGAGGGTTTTTATGAATATACTTGAAGAAATGTTTAGTTTTTAGCTTGCTGTCTGAGTTTTAGCAAATTTATAGTTGGATTTTTCTGATTGGTTAGTCTTAGTTTTTGTAAGCATGAGGTTTTTGATGAATATATTTGATATAAGTTTGATTTTTGTTTTTGTGATCAGGCTTTAGCTAGCTGTAAGAGCTTTAACAAATTTCTTGAGCACGTTGTGGAGGAATATGAGGGTTCATCAATGGAAGGAAGTGGAGACCTGCCAGTTATTGCTGCT